CCTTTATCCGAAACATTGCCTTCAGTTGGCCTTGTGTTTCGGATATCCGTCTTTTTAAAGAACACTGGTCTTTTAGCTGAAGTCCAACTTCAGTAAGACTTGTTCTCCAAAGACATGAGTCAATGGACAATTCTGGGATAATGCCTTAACTGAGCCTTGTATCCCAGAAAGCTATTATCCGAAACATTGCCTTCAGTTGGCCCTGTGTTTCGGATATCCATTTTTTAAAGAACTCTAGTCTTTCAGCTGAAGTCAAGCTTCAGTAAGATTTGTTCTCCAAAGGCGTTATCCGAAGCATTGCCTTCAGTTGGCCCTGTGTTTCGAATACCCATTTTGAAGAAATATAGAAATTGTTTATTCAGCTGAAGCCATACTTCAATTTCTGGGGGGGCAAGAAGCACTACCAGTGCAAGTTTGTGTTCAGCAGAATTGAAGAAACAGTAAAGCATTCAAAAACAAAGCAGCTGAAGAAAAGAACATCAAATTAATAATTTATGCTCAGAAATTGAGCTACAAGTTCAAATAAACTGTATCGGCAGCCGCCCACAAGCGGAAAATAACAGCTGCCGAAATACTTACAGAAGCAAAAAATTAAACTGTTGTACGACAAGGCAAGCTGAAGCAAAAAACAAGGCAAAAAATTCAGAAAGCGGTAAGTCTAAAGTTGAGCGCATGATGAACCGCAAGATTCTGAAGACGACTGCCCGAGTTCCTACGCTTCAGCCCGAGGATCAGACTGGTCATCATTGTTGAGCCCCGTGATGGTGTCAGCCCCAGCAGCAGAAGAGGCAGGCTTTGCACTCTGCCGAGCCTCCCTTTCCCTCTGTTCAGCCTCCAACTCCATTCTCTCAGCTTCTTCTTCGGCTTCCTCAGCCTTAATAATTTCAGCTTCGACTGGAGTTGCATACTTCATATGAGGGTCTTCGGGATTCTGGACCCATTCAGCACATTTGGACCAGTCCAGCTTCGGCTCAGCATGAAGGCAGACTCTTCGGCACACTCTGAACCCGTTTCTGAAACCCATTTCATATTCTTCCTGGGTATAGACACGGACTTTGAGTAGAGCCTCAGCATCAGCCAACTTCTTCTGGGTCTCCTCCAAGTCTTCCTTGGATTTCTTCAGCTCATCGGCGAGCTTGGAGGAGGAACCTTTCAGCTCATTCAGCTCCTGCTGAACTTGGGAAGCCTCTGTCTGAGCATGGGCCGCTTCTTCCTTTTTGGCCATCAGCTGATCCTCAGCCTCTTGGAGCTTAGCTCTCTGAGCTTCAGCAGCAGCAGCAGCCTCTGAGAGTTGGACATCCCTGGCTTGGAGCAGCTCTTCAGCAGCCATTCTGCTGGCTTCAAGAGCTTCTAGCCGTTGCTTCACTTCAGCTTGTGCAGCAGCTCCTTCCTGGATTCGGCTCTCAATGGCAGCCTTGAATTTGGAGACGTCCACTCCCATGTGCTCTTGGAGGAATTTTTCCCCTTCCATCAGTGGAGGAAAAACTTCCTTCTCCATAGCGTCGCAGAAGGTTCTGAAGGCTTCAGCAGCCTTTTTCTCGTACTCCTTACCCTTCTGCTGCTTCTCTTCAGCTGCTGCTTGCTTCAGCTTAGCAAGCTTTAACTCCTCTTCGGCTACCTTCTTGTCGTGCTCGGCAGCGTCTACCCTATCTTGTAGGGTATCTATCAGCTCTACAGTGAGAGTCTGATTGTGCACGAACTGAAAACAGGGGCACAAGTTAAAAAAAATAATAATAAAATAGAGCTGAATTTTAGAGGAAACAAATGCAAGGAAAATCACCTGCATCATCAGCAGTTGGTTAGACCTGGCTGGGTCAGGAACTGATCTGCTGGATTCGCCCATCCCAGCAGTGGCCTTCAGCGACCAGATTCTTGCCCTATCTACTTCGGACATGCCAGCAAAATCGCCGAAGTAGGCTGCAACACCTTCTCGGTTCTGACCCCATATGAGGTCCCAAATGCGATCTGGGATTGGAATTCGGGGGGCCGAGAAACCCATATCTCCAGATTGCAGAGTCTGGAAGGAAGGAAAGGATGATGACGGAGCTTCTTTAGCTTTGGATGGTTCAGCATCATCCTTCTCAGAAGAGTCAATTATTATGACCTCTTCTTCTTCAGGGGTGAGGACGAAAGCCTCAACCTCTCTTGCAAAGTCTGCTGTGAAACCCTCAGCACTGGGCATCACGGCATCGTTATTCTTGTGCTCAGCAGCACTCTCCTGAACTTCTTCTTGGACCCCTCCCTTAGATTCGGGAGTTTTCTGATCCACCTCCATCTCAGGAGGTGGCGGAGGGGTCTTTTGAGGTGATTGAGGTTGTGGACGGGGAACCCTCGGCGATCCATTGCCTTCCTCGGGTTCCCTTATTTCAACGCCAATGGTCATCGGCCTCCGCTGAAAGTCGTGCGGCCCGATGATGGCCATTCTTCGGTGCCTTTTCTGAAGCGGCTGCTCGTCCATGTCTGAGTCTGAAGACTCTTCTTATATTTGGTCTTCGAGACGAACAGGGGCTTTCCCTTCTCTGTGTCTGTTACTCTCTTCAGACTGTAACAGACAGGGGGGAGGAAGAATGTGAGTACAAAAAAAAAAAAAAAAACACAGACAAAGTTAAGTCTGAAAGCTCACCGAGGTCTTTAGCAAAGCCTCGTCTTCTTCAGCTGCCCTAGCTGCAGCTTCTTCTTCAGCAGCTCTGGAGGACCCTTCTCCTCCTTTGCAAGCTTCGATAACCCGTGCAACCTCTTCGGCCGTACGGGCAGCTTCAGCTTCTTCGTCCAGCAGCTGAAACCAGGGGTCTCTCTTCTTCCACCAAGGCTTCTGCCTCTGATACAGAGCAACAGCCTCAATTTGGAAGTGGGAAGAGTCTAGATGAACTTCCCTATGCCTCGGTTCAGTGATAGACGGGGCCCGATCAGTTACAACTCGTTCTCGGTTGACGCCAAGACGAGCGTAGTTAATGCCAACGTTGGTCTCGTCCCGCTCTGAAAAAGAAAAGGGGAAAGGTCAGTTCAGTTAGGTTGGCACAGCATAAAAAAGCGAAGTGAGAGGAGAAAAAGAGATAATTAAAAAGCCTTGGCCCCAGCCGAAGAAGCTTACCATCCTTAAACTTTCGGCTGAGGCCAACAGCTGCTAGCATGTTCTCTTGTAAAACATAATGCGTATCGGGGAGCCAAGTCTCCGGGATATGCTGCATTCGGCCGCTGCCCCCCCGGTTTGGCAGCTTGCCGAAGATGTTCTGCTGATTAAGGTTCGGATCTGGCCCGTTATCTGTGGGGAAACCTAGACTTCCCATGTCGGGATCAGGCTCAGCAAGGTACCGGGGAGCGCTGAAGACGCAAGGGTGGCCCGGGTCCGTGGGTGCCCTAACCCAAATCCATTGACCTCTCCAGTCCTTGTCTGAAGAGTCGTTCGGCCACATGGTTAGGTACTGGGGCCGAGACTCAATTCGGTACCACCCAGAACCATGACTTCCGTGCCCACTTTGAATATTTGGCACTAGCCGATGAAGCTTTTTGAAGCAGTGCAGGTTCGGCACATACTTGAAGAACTTGCAGACCCATAAGTATGTCATCACCCTTCGGATGCTAGTGGGAGTCAGCTGACATAGGGAGATATTGTAATGGATCAGCAAGTCTCGGACGAATACGTCCAAAGGGAACCTCAGCCCATACTGAAGTTGCCTTGTGTACACCCCCACATACCCCGGGGGTGGACGATGGATTCTATCGGATGCCACGGGCATTCGGCACCAATACCCATCAGCTTCAAGGATGCCGTAATGCAATTCAATTTGTTCGGCAAACCGATACTGATCGGCATTATCCACCCACCATGAGTAGGGGCGGTTCTTTATCATGGCCGAAGCTACTTCGGCATTCTCCCACTCTGAAAACCCGGGGAGGATATCCCAAAGGACAGCGGGAACTTCATCGTCCCGTCCAGAAGCGCTCAGCCCCTCCGTTCTCTGAGGAGGAGCCGAGGAAATTGGAGTCGCCCTAATCCCTTCAGCAGGGTCAGACTCTGGCCTTTGTCCATTCCAGGTCCCAATCCTGTTCCTAGGATCGGGAATTGGCCTTGCTCTTCTTGGAGCACGGGCTCTACCTCTAACTCCTCTTGCCATTGTTTATTTCGAAGAAAAAAGTCGAAAAAAAAGGGAAGGAGTTCGAATTCGAAGAAAAATAAACTGAAATCAAAGGAATTTACCTTAATCTGAAGCGAAAGTTGCCGATTTACGAGTTCGTAGTGGCAAGTCTCAGTTTCTAGGCTTAATGCTCGGGGAATTTGCGAAGTTTTGATGCGGGTTCTTGGGTTCTCTCGAGAATTCTGGGTTTGTGTTGGTGAATAAGTGAGGAGAGATGACGCGCCTCTGATTATATCTCCAGAAATGGGAATACGGGGAGTCTGCGTTTCAATTTCTCTTAAATACCCCACTAAGTAACCGTTAAACACACGACCTTGCGATTAAACTGCCCATTATCCGTCCAACTTCCACAATCATCCGCCTTAACCGTTGTTATCTCATAAATTACGGTTTAAATTCAAATTTTTGGATTAATTAAATCATTCACTTCCCTCCTTTTCTGAATTAAATCAAACCCGACCCGTCATCCTTCCAAATCGGGTCTGGGGGGCAAGTTGTTTGGGTCCAATTTAGTCCGATTGGGCCTAGGCATTAAATGATCCAATTAAAAGCCCAAGGTCAAGGTTCATCTCTCCAATTGTGCTAAAGTCAAAGATCAGCCCTCAAGGCAAGCCAATTGGGCTAAGGCCCAACTTCTCCATGTATGAAGAGGTATAAAAGCCATCAATATTACATTTTTACAGACATTCTCATTCATGCTCATTAACTCAAGCAAAGCCTCAAGCAACAAATTCTCTTGCATAGTGTTCTCTTTCTACACATTGTACTGACTTTAGCATCGGAGGGGCCTTCCTCGGCAACACCCCCGAGGCTAGTTTACGTGTGTTTACTGTGCAGGAAACCTTCGGCCCAACATTACTTGGACCGAATCTAGTCTTCTCCGTTTCAGCGGACCTTCGGCAAGGTCCCATTGTTTTCACCCGAAACAGCTTTGTTACTTGATCATATTTATTCTTTGCCTTTAAAACAGATTCAAATTTCGCAACCGATGTCTCCTTAGACATGGTCGTCGATTGGGTACCTAGCATGAAAGGTATACAATTGAAATATATACCAACCTTTATCCTAACCACAGACAAAGATGACATTATGTTAAATTTCCTAAAATTCACAACTGAAAGAGCTGCTAAGTCTTCAGCACCAATTATTTTTAACTCTTTTGATGCATTGGAGCATGATGTTCTTGAGGACATATTGAAAATTGTAGTTGGTCCGATATACAACATCGGACCAATGCAATTGCAGCTAAATAATGTGTCTGATGATGCCGCGGTCAAGTCCTTGGGGTCTAACCTATGGAAGGAGGATTCGACTTGCTTTGAGTGGCTTGACTCAAAGAAGCCGAAATCCGTTGTTTATGTAAGTTTCGGGAGCATCACAACTATGACAAATGAAAATCTTATTGAATTTGCGTGGGGTCTTGCTAATAGTAAGCACCCCTTTTGTGGATTCTTAGACCTGATATTGTAACTGGAGATTCCGCTGTTATACCACCTGAATTCCTAGCTGAAACAAAAGATCGAGGTCTAGTGACTAGTTGGTGTGATCAAGAAAAAATCTTATACCATCCATCAATTGGCTCATTTTTGACACATTGTGGGTGGAACTCGACACTAGATACTATATGTAGCGGGGTGCCACTTATGTGTTGGCCTTTCTTCGCAGAACAACAAACCAATTGTTGGTTTAGTTTCGAAAAGTGGGGCATAGGCATGGAGATCGACAACGATGTAAGGAGAAGTGAGGTTGAGAGACAAGTGAGAGAGCTTATGGAAGACAAAAGGGGGGAAGAAATGGCAAGTAAAGCATTGGAGTGGAAAAAATTAGCTGAAGAAGCATTAGCAACTCCAAGTGGTTCATCCTACTTAGACTTTGAAAAATTAGTCAACCAAGAGGTTCTTTCTCTCAAAAAAGTCAAGTAGCAATCATAAAATTGAGCAAGCAAGCTCATATGCCTAGTTAATTATTGGATGAATTTAATGAATAAATTATGTTTCTGTTTTTCTTTGATACAACTATTTCTTTGGAGGCAAACTTGTGCTAATTTGTTTTATTGCCAAAAAAAAAAAAAAAAAAAAAAAAGTGTTAAGTGAGATTGAATTGGTTCACCAAGTTTCTTTTTTCTATTATATTCCCAAATAATTTAAAGTTGGTGATGTTGGAGTTGTAATGTTTGATCTGAAATTAATTTAAGCTATTATGTGGTCCTACATTATATTATGAACTTATACACTTCCTTCTGTTTAAGTATTGTTTCAATATACTACGTAGAGTAATAAATTGGTAAGTTTGCAACTTAATTTTATTTACCCTTTCCCATTTTTGTGCATCTTTTGCAAACAAAGCCCAGGGCAATCCCACCCTATGAAACTGTGGTCCATTGCATGCACTCTGTGCTCCTAATGGACGAACTCTCTACTCTTACGCTATGGACGCCCAAAAGAAGATTTGAGTTCAAATCCGAACACCAATACAAATCAGGTGGTCTTCAAATAGCCCCATATACTCAAAACTAATAAAAGTAATCCGTATCATATCTTAACACTTACAACACCTTTTGTTTGTTTGTTTTTTTTTTTTTTTTTTTTTTTTTTTTTTTTTTTTTTTTTTTACAAGACAAGCACTTTAACACTTTGACTTTTACATTATTTACATAATCTAATTTAACTATATATGATGATTAATATTCAAGAAATAATTTATATATATTTATGTAAAATCTTATTACAATTGACTTAAAGTATATACTTGTAATTTTTTATTTTTTCCAAATTAAAGTGGCTCAATGTATCAAATTAAAACATCAAATTTGCTATAATTTTGACTTATTGAAACAAAGATATCAATAGTTGAACTTAAGGGTGAGCAGAAATTCTAAGTACTCGGAATTGGAATCGGAACCGGTTAGGAACCGGCGGGTCCGGAGTCGGAATTGGACCCGGTAGTTCCAATTCCGGGTAATAAATTAAGGACCCGGTTGCAACCGATTCTAATTCCAATTCTCAATCTTTTAGGAACCAGAACCGGTTGGGTACCCGGTTACCCAACATATATTCAACTAAATATATATTTTAAAAAAAAACAAAAATATGTTGAATGTATCTAGTTAGTAAAATAATATTAATGTCTATCATAAATTAGCTTAATTCATATGAAAATATAAGTATTAAATGCTAAAAATGAAAATAAACCAAGAAATATTATGATTTGTATTATATTTTAGCAAGTATGTATATAAGTGGGTACCCAGAACCGGAATTAGTACCCGGTGGAACCAATTTCAACTCCTAAATTTTAGGACCCGATTATACCGGTTCTGAGTTTTAGGACCCAGTCCCAACCAATTTCGAGTCCGGATCCTAAAATTTTGATCGGGTACCCGATTTACACACCCCTAGTTGAACTTAAACACTGACAAATGTGAATTTAAAAGTATTAATAATTATAGCACAAAGAAAAGAAAAAAAAATAGAAGTCATGAAAGGAATTGTGTTTAAAAATTAAGGATGAACGTATTGAAATATTGAAGTTAATACTTCGCCAATCATTATATCGATTAGTAGTACAACAGCAAACATGTCACATGAAGATCCATTAGACCAACACTATCACTGTAAAATCAACTATAGTAGCTGAACGGTATCAAAGGAAGGAGGGAAAGGAGCATGGCCAGACCCGAAAGCGCGAATGTGATCCTTAAGTGACCTCTTATGCTTAAAGTCAGAACCACAAAGACAAAGCCAACGCTTGCCACAATTCTTCTCGTGTGTGCGCCAGTCGCCTTTGACGGCCAACGACTTGCCGCACTTACGACAGCTGAAAGGCTTGTGGCCGTGCTTGCGCTTGTAGTGAGTTTGTAGTGTGCGGAAGTCCTTCAAAGGCTTAGATTTTGGGTGGTTGATGTTGTTTTTGCACCCTTCCTCGCAGCAATAGCATGGTACACTTAGTATGGCTCGTGGTTGGACTCCTTTTAATGAGTCTGGGCCTTTTCGGTACTGTGATCCGTGGCCCCACATGTGCATCTGAGGCCCAATAAATAAAATAAAAAGGTAAGTTGGGATACTAGAATTAAGCCCAACTTTGATTTTATGGTTTTGGGCTTTTTCCGCTAAGGAGAAGGGCCTACAACTAGTCTCTTTTTTTTTTTTTTTTTCGGTTGCAACAAAGTTTCATCAGTCAATAAATATACCGTACATAGCTTATTAAATAAAAATTAAAATCCCTGAAATTTTTTTAGAAAAAAAGAAAAAGATGGCCATTTCATCATATTAATGTGTAAATTAAACTAATGTTGCGTTATAAAATCAAAACAACAATAGATTAAATTTGTATAATATTAAATGTCGCTATACATTATGAATGCAATTCTAACAAAATTTAACTAACTTCTTAAAATGTGTAAAAATGGGTACTTCGTACAATGATAGCTAAACAACTGTCGAGAATCTATGTTTTATAATGTTAGGTCGATTTTATTTCAATAGCAATTTCTAGTAACACTGAAAAGAAGTGCACAACTAAAAAAATGAAAGGAGCTTTTTTATTTTAGTGAATCTCCAATGCAAATAATGATGAACATAGTAGTATATATAGACATATATATAGTACATATACATGAATATATGAAACCAATGTCTTAATTACAGTGATAAATCCTAATACTAGTGGTTAAATTCCAATATGTGTAATTAGAAAACAAGTCAACATTGCATGCTACAATTTTATAAAGCAAACCATGGAACAAGCTTTTTATATGCACAAAAATGCAATTAAGAATAGGGAAAATAAATAATACACGAAAAAGGTAATATTACCTGAAGATTATTGTAACGGTTAAAGGTCTTACTACAAAGGTGGCAAGAAAAATGGGTGAACCCTACTAGAATTTGAGCAGCACTTGGTATCCAATAATTATTAGACATTAGAAGGTGATTATTATTGTTATCACCAACATCATTTCCATTTCCCTTCCTTACCAAGTTATCATGATTAGGTAACCCAATGTGCAAGGCAACTGTAACGCCGTTGTTATTATCATCTTCTCCTTCTTTGTTGTTAAGCTTTTTCGCGTTGTTGAAATCCTTGACACTTGAGAAGCCCTCGGCCTTGTCCGGAAAAAGATTGAGAGGTTCAATTCTCTTATCATCATCTTTGTTACTAAAACTGCCTAATGAAGAAGTGCATGAGAATGTCGTAATTGCAATTGGTTTCATGAATCTATAAGGGAATTCTAGGCTATACTCTATATGTCTATAGCATGAAATTTTGAATTGATAGATTTGTATGTAGAACCCTACTACCATAATTTATATACTACCTTTGTACGTATAGCTAGAATTAGCAATTTTAGGGTAAATGGTCCAAAATCCCAACCTTATGTAATTCTAGATATGAAAAGGTTTTACCAAATAATCCATTATACTCATAATAGGTATACACTTTTTACCACCCCCCGTATATTCTTAAGGAGTAAACCTTGTGCTTTGATATTAAAATGTGAAGTAAATGGTTAAAAAAAATAAAAAATAAAAAATAAAAAAATAAAAAAGGATTTACAATAACTTTAACTAAATATTATTCCCGGTTCATTTTAACTGCCCCAAATTTATAATTGGCACATTTGTCAACACAAAACTTTAACTAATTATATCTCTTTCATTATCAATAAATATACAGGTATACTATAATATATAGCTGATATTCAAAAAAGTTTACATTGAAATAATCTAATAACATTACCTATATATACGGATTAACTATGTTTAATTTTATCTGTAAGCACCAACTAACATTGGTCAAAGTGATGTATGTGAATATAATAGGCATAATTTAAATTGAGGCACTTAAAAAATATAAGGGAGAGTTGTAAGAATCAGGTTGATTAGTAAGAATAAGGTAATATTTACTATACATGAGGAATTGAATTAATTAATTGCGTTGATTTAATTTGAATTATATAATATATGCATTATTTTAAATCCCCATAATCTACTAATTTTAGGGTATGATTCACTTTTACTAAAGAATAATCAATACTTTATACAACGTAAAATATATAGTTAATTGCATTATTATTCATTTATTTTTCCTCTTATTTATGTCACCATGTAACCTTAGCTTAGTAAGGGTATGTTAAAAAGTTCAATAATGATCTAAAACTACAACTTATTTGAAAGTCTAATATTTTGAAACTTGTACAATCTTTTCGTATATCTTAAAGTAACATAAACGACAATTAGTTCCAGACAGAGATAGTATATATACTATAAAATTCAGACTAGGGGAGGTTTGTAAGTACCTAAGAGTTGGGGAAATTTGTTATACAATCATGAATGTTAACGGTAAAATTAAATACAAGAAGACTTTTAAGGTGGTATAATATTAGGTAGGCAGCTGGAATATGAATCTTGCTGAATAAAACAACCATCTTTAGGAATTATTAATTTATTAATGGGTTTTTAATTTATATCTTAATGTAGGTGTGCACTTTTAATCTCTTCTGTATGTTCTCATTTCCTGGTATTGGATTCGAAAACGAAGTGAATTAATTTTGGTGGCCCTAAGTTGTGTAATTTTAGCAAGTTTTCATTGCAGAAAGCTTGATTATGTAAAGCAATATGTTTGGGTCCAATTTAGTCCAATTGGGCCTGGTCACTGAATGATCCAATTAAAAGCCCAAGGTTAAGGTTCAACTCTCCAAATGTGCTAAAGTCAAAAATCAACATCCTCAAAGCCATGTCAAGGTCAGTCAACGGCCCAATCAGCTTGGCCCAGCCCAACTAACTTCCGGGCCCAATCCGCCTCCTTCATTAGCCAAGGTATAAAAGCCAACAATTTGGTCAATTCTTGGTAAGACAATAAAGCCTCAAGCAACTAAACTCTTGCACAGCTTTCTCTCTCTAATATACTGACTTAAGCATCGGAGGGGCCTTCCTCGGCGTCCCCCCCGAGGCTAGTTTACGTGTATTTGTTGTGCAGGAAACCCTCGGCTCCTGCGTCGTTCGGACCGAGACCAAGTTCCCTCAAGATAAAAGGATCTTCCGAGATTCGATTGTTTTCATCCGAAACAATTTGGCGCCGTCTGTGGGGAACGCTACTAAATTTCGCGTCAGTCATCAAACACTCCGGCAGTCGCCATGACTAAGAGTGGAAAGAGTTCCAAGAAGGCTAAGAAGGGAGGAGGCCAGATTACGGTGAGGGAACGCCAGCCGGTTTATCCCTCCCCGGAGCAAGCCTCTTCCGAATCGGAGGCCCCCATTTCTCCGGAAAGGGAAGCCTCAAGAGGTCCTAGCCTCCAGGAGGAGAACACCTCGCACCACACTCGGCAGCCGGGGCCATCCCCGAGACCGAGTGGCTCAGGTGCGAGGAACTCCCCGCCGCGCCATAGCGTGCAATCCAGGTCACATCCGCGGGAGACTCCTCCCTCCGGACCCTCCACCGAGGAAGTGGCCAGAGCAGTGGCCATCTGCATGGAGTTCCTTAAAGCTCAAGGGGCTCCAATCCAGATGCCTGATGATCACCAGCCGAGAAACCTGAAAAGGAGGATCGGTCAGGATGATGGTGGACAAGTTCCACCACATAGAGAGCTCGGCCAGAGGTCGCGAGGGGACACCCGAAACTCCAGTAAGGAGAGGAGGAGGAACCCTCAACCCTCTGACCACTCTGAAGCTCAGAATTCCATGGGGCCCTCCAAGGACCCGGAATTCGCCCGCCAAAGCGTTCACGAACGCTTGGGTTCGAGGGAGTTGAGTGTGCATAGCCGCCTCACCTTCCCAGAGGATACCGGACCCCACCCAACCTTGTCTCAGCCGGGGACGAAAACCACTTCCACCTCTGAGAGAGGAGGGAGCGAGGTCCCTGAGGCCGGGTACAAGGGGAAGGCGGTCATGGTTCCATCGAACTCGCCCTTCCAGAAGTGGATTCTGGAAGAGCATGTGCCAACGGTCAAAATCCCGGCACATATTACTTACGATGGTACCTCAGATCCTAAGGATCACATTGCCTCTTACGAGGGGCACATGTATCTGAACCCGAGGTCTGAGGCTACCTGGTGTAAATACTTTCCTACGACCCTCAAAGGTGTTGCCCAATCCTGGATCACCAAAGGGCTCAAGGAAGGCTCCATAACCGGTTGGAACGACCTCTCCAACAAGTTCAAGAGCAAATTCTCTACGGCCAACCGCCGAGAGAAGACCACTGCAGAGCTAATGAGTCTGCAGCAGGCGGAGGACGAGAGCCTCCGCGACTATCTGACTCGCTTCAGCAACGAGTCATCCGGAATCACAAGCCTGGATCAAGGCCTGGCCGTGTTCGCGCTACGGAACGGCCTCCAAGCTGGAAAGTTCCTGGACTTCATGGTCATGCATCCCCCGCAGACCCTGGAGGAAGCCTTGGAAGCATCGGATAGGTTCATCCGAGCCGAGGAGTGGAACAGATCCAGGTCTCAGTCTCGTCCGAGAATTGAGAAGCCGAAAGGGCAGCAGCCCGAAGTCTCGGCGCAGAGGAAAGGGAAGGCTAAGGCCTCAGAACCGTCCTCTGCTGCCGAGCCGAAGAAGGAAAGACACTTTCCCTACACGGGAAGGTACGATTCATACACTCCACTCTCCCTTCCCCGTGCTAAGATTTTCAGCACGACGAAGGACGAGGGGAGATTCAAAAAACCTCGTCCGTTGCCTCCCTGGCATCAGACGAGGGGAAAGGACCAGTGGTGCGAGTTCCATGACTCACCCGGACATCGCACCGAGGACTGCGTCCAGCTGAAGGACCAGATTGAGGATCTGGTCCGCAAGGGGTACCTGAGCCAATACCTCGCGGACAGGCGCGAGGAGAAAAAAGCTGAAAAAGATTCTCGGCAGGACCTCAACTTCGCTCGGAAGAAGGATAAGGGACCTCAGGGCAAGGAGTCCCTCGACATCCTAGTTATTTCCGGGGGAATCTCGCGAGGCACAGCCAAACGCCAACTGAGGGGTCTAACCCATCAGATTCATCAGGCTGAGCTTCGGCAGTCCCAGTCACCGGCGCCGAACATCCTGTTCACAGCCGAAGACTGTGAGGGGGTGGTATACCCCCACGATGACCCACTAGTAATCATTCTGGGCATCGCCAACCGCAACGTCTGGCGGACCCTCGTCGACGGCGGTAGCGGGGCGAACATCCTCTTCCGAGGAGCGTTCGACCAGCTGAGGATGGGAGCCGAGCACCTGGCCCCCGCACCCTACCCGGTGTCTGGATTCAACGGCTCTTCATCGTATCCTGACGGGAAGATTACACTTCCTGTCACCATCGGCGAAGGCCGAGCAGCTAGGAATATCATGGCCGAATTTTTGGTCGTAGATGCTCCATCTGCATACAACGTGATCATGGGGAGACCCCTCATTCACGGCATTCAAGGAGTCGTCTCCACGTATCATCAAATCATGATATACGTTTCAGACGAGGGACGCTCCGAGAAAATAAAGGGCAGTCAAAAAGAAGCCCGCCTATGCAATCACCTCAAGCCATCCACGTCTCGCCGAGGCAACCGTGGCGATGGGGAGGAAAAGCACCGGGACCGAAACGCCAAAAAGCCGAGAGGCTCAGACGTTTCGGCTAATGAAGCCCCAGACAACGAGAAATCTGATGGGGGCCAAAAGGCTGACTCCGCCTCAGAGCCGAACGACTCTGATGGCCAGCCGCGGTCAGGAAAGTCTGCTAATATTGATAGCAGGCCGGAATTCGAGGAATCCAACTCTAAGAGCATGGAGACGGATGACCTGACCGAGTCAATAGAACTGACCGTAGGAGATCCGAACAGATGTGTTAGCATCGGGTCGTCACTGGAGCCAAACACCCGTGCGGCACTCGTCCAACTCCTACGGGCCAGTGGAGACGTGTTCGCCTTCTCAGCCGCAGAAATGCCCGGGATTGATCCGGACTTCGTCTCCCATAGGCTTAATGTCGACCCCTCCAGTCGACCCATTAAGCAGAAAAAGCGGAACTACTCCGCCGAAAAGAACCAGAACATCGCAGCTGAGGTCGATAAGCTCCTAGATGCTGGGTTCATTGAACCCTGTCAGTATCCGGAGTGGCTGGCCAATGTTGTAATGGTTCAGAAGGCAAATGGTAACTGGAGGATGTGCGTTGACTTCACGGACCTGAATAGGGCATGTCCCAAGGACTCCTATCCGCTGCCGAGGATCGACCAACTGGTCGACTCGACAAGCGGGCATGCTCTGCTCAGTTTCATGGACGCATTCTCGGGATACCATCAGATCTTCATGCACCCCGAGGACCGAGCTAAAACAGCGTTCATAACAAGTTCCGGGTTGTACAATTACAGAATGATGCCCTTCGGATTGAAAAATGCGGGGGCAACATATCAGAGGTTGGTTGATCAGGTTTTCGCCGAGCAAAAAGGCCGAAACATGGAGGTTTATGTTGACGACTCAATCGTCAAAAGCATAAAAGAAAAAGATCATGTCACGGACCTAGCCGAAACCTTCGCCACCCTCAGAAAATACAAAATGAAGCTGAATCCGAAGAAATGTGTCTTCGGCGTGAAGTCAGGCAAGTTCCTCGGCTTCATGGTCAGCAAGAGGGGGATTGATGCAAACCCCGCCAAAGTACAAGCTGCTTTAGACCTCCCCGAGCCGAAGACAAAAAGGGATATTCAGCGTCTAGCCGGGAGAATGGCTGCCTTGTCCAGGTTCATCTCACGAGCCTCAGACAAAGGGCTCCCTTTCTTCAAGGCGCTGAAGCTCCAAAATTCAAAAGGCATTGAATGGGGAGACGAACAAAAGTCAGCCTTTCAGCAGCTCCGTGAACACCTGGCTCAACTCCCAACACTGGCAAGGCCAGTCGTAGGAGACATCCTATACTTATACGTGGCGGTCAGTCCAGCCACGGTAAGCGCGGTGCTGCTAAGGGAAGAAGAAAAAGTTCAACAGCCGATCTATTTCGTCAGCCACACCCTGACGGATGCCGAGACGCGCTACCCAT